CAAAAAGACAAATAACCCAATTAAAAAATGGGCAAAGGATATGAACAGGCACTTCATCAAAGAAGATATTCAGGTGGCTAACAGACACATGAAGAAATGCTCATGATCATTAGCCTTCAGAGAAATGCAGATCAAAACTACAATGAGATGTCATCTCATCCCAACAAGGCTAACACTAATTCAAAAAACACAAAATAATAAATGCTGGAGAGGTTGTGGAGAGACTGGAACACTGTTGGTGGGAATGTAAAATGGTACAACTATTTTGGAAAGCAATTTGGTGCTTTCTTAAAAAGCTAGAAATAGAAGTACTACACGATCCAGCTACCCTGCTCCTTGGAATATGTCCTAGAGAAATAAGAGCTGTCACACAAATAGATATACAGACACCCATGTTCAGTGCAACATTGTTCACAATAGCAAACAGATGGAAACAACCTAGGTGGCCATCAACAGACGAATGGATAAACAAATTATGGTATATCCACACAACAGAACACTAAGAACAACGATGAAGCCATGAAACATCGTATAACATGGTGGAAGCTGGACCTTATTATGCTGAGTGAATTTAGTCAGTCACAGGACAAATACTGTATAAGACCACTATTATAAGAACTCAAAAAAAGTTTAAACACAGAAGAATACATTCTTTGATGGTTACAAGGCTGGGGAGGGAGGGTGAGGGTTATCTACTAACTAGATAGTAGGTAAGAATCATCTTAGGCAAAGGGAAGGAAGCACACACTACAGGGGAAGTCACACAACTGGACTAAACCAAAGCTAAGAAGTTTCCTGAATACAATCAAACACTTTGAGGGACAGAGTAGCAGGGGTAGGGGTCTGGGTACCATGCTTTCAGGAGACATCTAGGTCAACTGGCATAACAAAGCTTATTAAATGTTCTGCATCCTACTTTGGTGAGTGGGGTCTGGGGTCTTAAAAGCTTGCAAGCAGCCATCAGAGATGCATCAATTGGTCCCAACCACTTGAAGAAAAAGGAGAATGAAGAACACCAAAGACACAAGGAAAGTAGGATCCCAAGAGACAGAAAAGCCCTCATAATCCAGAAATTTCTTCAGCCTGAGACCAGAGGAACTCGATGGTGCCTGGCTATCACCAACGACTGCCCTGACAGGGAACACAACAGGGTCCCTGATGGAGCAGCAGAAAGATGGGGTGCAGAACTCAAATTCTGGCAAGAAGACCAGACCTAATGGTCTGAGACTGGAGGAACCCCAGAAAACATTACCCCTGGATTCTCTATCATCCCAGAACTAAAACAATTTCCAAGGCCAACTCTTCAGACAGGGATTGGACTGGACTGTGGGCCATAAAGTGATACTCGTGTGCCTCTTAGCTCAAGTAGATACAAGAGATCAAAGGGGCAGCTTCTGTCCGGAGGTAAGATGGGAAGGCAAAGAGGGTTAGGAGCTGGTTGAATGGACATGGGGAATCAGGGGTGGAAAGGAGGCGTGTGCTGTCGCAGAATAGGGTGAGCAATTAGGGTCACATAACAATGTATGTATAAAATTTTGTATGGGAGACTAAGATGAAATGTAAACTTCATTTAAACTACAACAATAAAAAGAAAATATACAAAGCCAAAGTTAAAAAAAAAGACAAATAATCCAATCATAAAATGGGCAAAGGACTTGAATAGACATTTCACCAAAGAGGACATTCAAACGGCCACCAAACACATGAAAAGATGCTCAGTGTCACTGGCCATCAGAGAGACGCAAATCAAAACCACAGACTTCCGGCAACATGGCTCTATAATCAGAAGCACCACGCCGTCCCTCCACAGCAAAGATCAGAAAAACTAAGTCAAACAGAGTCACATGTAACTCTTAAGGACTATGCAAAACCAAAAGAATTCAGAACAATGAAAGAGGGAATAAATGGTGTAAATATAGAACCTTCTAATGGAGAGGAAGTCAATCGATACCAAGGAATAATAGACTCGTTCAAATCTAGGAAGATAAGGGTAAATTTCAAGATAACCACAAAGAAAGTTAACAAACCTACTCGTCAAAATAAAGAATAAAAACATAAAGTCTCAGTAAAAACAAAACATACAAAAACAAAAGAAATGAAAATAAATCCACAAACAAATGGAACTCAGCACAGGAGAGTAAGAGGAACAAAACTGGAGGACATTATGCTGAGTGAAATAATTCAATCACAAAAGGAAAAATAATTGTATGAGACCTCTACCGTATAACTCATGTGAAAGTTTACACACAAAGAGAAACAATCTTCGTTGGTTACGAGGGATGGGCGGAATGTGGGGGGGAACTAAATAGATAAGTGGTAAGGGTAAGACAGTACACATTACTGGGGAAGCCAGCACAACTTGTACAAGGAAAGGTCATGGAAGCTCCATAGACAC